TGTTGTGCACGCTAATGATATGATCCATCAGGGACTCCTTGTTGAAGAGAAAACGGTCGCACAGCCGGCAGCTGAACATCATGTTGGTGTGTATCTGCTCGTGGTCCTTGAGCGAGTCCGACGTGGGGAACACCAGGTCGCAGCTGGACACGTTACACTGGTAGGACTCGTAGACCTTCTTGTGCTTGATCGTAAAATGTTGGCGCAAGTTCGACAGGCCGGGGAACACCTTGGAGCAGACGTTGCACGAGAACTTGCCGTCCTGCGTCGGCACCGGCAAGCACTCCGGCAGGCCGTCCTTCCCAATGCGCGGCTTGTGCACGGCCTGCTTATGCTTGTACAGCACGCTCATGTTGGGGAACAGTCTCTTGCACAAGTGGCACATGACAGACTTCTTCCTCTCGCCGGCAAAGTCCATGGCGAAGGGCGGCAACTTGGGCGGATTGTCCTCCGCTTCGACCTTCATACGCTTCATCTTCGGCTCGTCCTCCAGCGAGAGTCGCCGGTTGTGCAGCTGTTGTTGCGTACGTTGCTGCACGCTCTGCAGCTCGCTGTGGAAGTTGAGTCTGTGTCGCTGTAGAGACTGGCCGCTCGAAAAAGCCTTCCGGCAGATGGAGCACAGGTATTGGGTGGCCGGCTTTTTGTTCAACGACTGGAACTTGACGGAGGTCAGCAAGGTGGCCTTGTGCAGCCTCTTGTGCTTCCACAGAACCTTCTTCGAGCTGTAGGTCTTGTTGCACACGTCGCAGGTGTACGTCTTGTGTACGTCGCTGAGGATGGGATTGGCCTTGTGCCACTTCATATGAGCGGCCAGAATGTCCTTGTCGGGGAAGACGTTCGTGCACAGTTCGCACTGAAGCTCATCGGTGGCTATACTCTTCTCCGGCTTGTTTTTGGCGCAATGTACGTCCCACAGGTGAGTCCTCAACTCGGTCACGTCATTGAATTTGTCGTTACACACTTGACACTGGAAGTTGCCCGGCGACTTGATCGCCGAGTGCGACGGAGGATTGGGGAAGGACTTGCGAGCTCTCGCCGGGCGTTCCGCACTGTTGCCGACGCTTGAATTGTCCAGCGTGTTGTTGGCAAACTTTTGATTGGCCAGGATGAAACGAGTGCTGAGGCGGGAGTTGGCGCGATTGTGCCAGCCCTTGTGTATCTTCAATGACGCCTCCTCGACGAAGACCTTGCCGCAAATGTCGCAGGCGTAGCCGTTCTGCGACTTCTCGAGGTGCGCGGTCCGGTAGTGATAGTTGAAATTGGACCGGAAGACGAAGCTCTTGGGACACAGCGGGCAATGGAACATATTCTTGGAGGACTTGTGCTCGTGCTGCATGTGCTGCTCGTACAATTCCTTGCGCGTGAACGACTTCTCGCAGTTGGCGCACTCGTAATTCTTGGCGTTCCGGTGCGCGATCGTCGCGTGCCGTCTCAGATTGGCGTAATTAGACAGCACCTTGCCGCACTGATCGCACTCGTATCTCTGCGTGCCAGGATCCGAGACAGCGCTGGCGTTCATCGCTGCGTCGTCATTGTCGATCCTCACGTCTTCGTCCAGGCTGCCGTACTCCACGCAGGAGATGTTAGCCTGCCGCTCGTTGGGATCGTCGATGCCGTGATCCTTCATGTGAATCTCCAAGGCGCCGGCACTGCTGAACATGCTGCGGCAAATGGCGCACGAATATATCTTCACCTTGAGGTGCAGGTTCCGGTGGTCGGTCAGCTCGACTCGCGTGGCGAAGCTCATGCTGCAGAGAGCGCAGACGTACTTGTTCTGATCGCTGGTCCTCGTCTTCGTCTGATCGGTGCGCATATCTTCCGGCTGATACTGAGCGGCTGCGTTGCGCTCCTTCAACGGTGACTGAGCACTCTGCGAGATCTTGCCGCTGATCTGCTGATTCGTCTGTCGGCTCACCTGTGACGCGCGATGCTTCTCGTGGTGAGTGAGGTAGTCGCTGGGCGACCTGAATCTCGAGTTACACACCGCGCAGGTGAAGTCCTTCTTCTTGTGGCCAACCGTGACGTGAGAGTGGAACTTTTTGAACACGAGGAACGTCATGGAACAGTGGGCGCACTTGTACGACGTTCTGACCTCCGGCTGCAGCCGCGAACACAGCTGCCTGTGCTTAATCATGTTGGGCCGGTAGCGGTATATCATGCCACAAAGGTCGCACGTGTGATTGTGCGCGGGATCGCCGTCCTTGTACGGCCCGTTCGGGGTTTTTGGCGACGGTGACTTGCTGGCGTCATTGCCGTTCGACGACGGTAACGGCGCCATCGGCTTCAACTTAGGCGGCGGTCGCGCCGGCGACATCATCTCCTCGTACTGCTTGTCGGAATGCTTGGACAAGTGGCTGAGCAGCTCTTTCCTGCCCTGCATCGAGCGCAGACACATATTGCACGTGAAGTAACGCTCGTGACCCTGCTTCGGCACGACCAGTGCGATCTTCATAGCGCACTCGAAGGAAGCGCCGCAGTGCGACTGATACATCGACCGATCGGGGAACTCGGTCAAGCAAGCGATGCACGTGTACGGTCGCAGGTCCGGCAGATGTTGGCGGATATGTGAGAGCGTGCTGCGCCGGTCGTTGAAAGTCTGCTGGCACGAGTAACAGGAGAAGGTTTTCAGCTGGCTGATGATATCCTGTTGAACCTGCGTCAACGGCGAATCTTTTTCCATGCTGACCAATTCGTCCTCCAAGTCCTCCACCATCTCTTCCTCGTCATTCTGAGATCCCGAGTTCTCGGTGCCGTTGTCCTTGGTACCGTTGCTGTGAAATCGCTCCATGTGCTTCACATACGAATGCTTGGAATGCAAAAATATCTGGCAGTATACGCACTTCTGCTTGAAAGCGCGCGTGCCTCTGAAATGAGTGTGAGGCCCGCGCCTTAGTTTTTTCTTATGCGTCGGCCCGCTTGCTGCATTGTTGGACTTTTGGGTGGAATCAGCCTCCATGATTACATCTTCCTTTGCGTTAAGCGCCATGGGGTTCAATAATATCCCGTTGTCGTCGACGGATTCTACCTCTAAGGTGCCGTCGTAATCGGCGTCGTCGTAATCGTCTTGCGGCTCGCTTTTAATCGCGGCACGTAAAGGCTGCGAATCTTGCTGCTGATCCTCCGTTTGACTCTCATCTTTGTCAGTCTCTTTTTCTGCTGCAGGTGCAGGAACCGTTTCGGATTCAGTCTGCCTATCCGCATTATTCACATCAGCATCGTCACTGTCGTTGATGTTGTCTGACAAATCTTGTACATGCTCATTGCTGCTCTCACTGTCCTCCACCGTAAGAATTTGTAAATTCTGCAAATAAAAAATACCTCTATGCAGATATCTTCTCACGCTATCCTTGTAGGAAGCTCGCAGTTCCTTATACACGAAAGAGAAAGACTATATTTACCGATGATTCCTGGTTGTTGATAGATTCTGAGACAATCTCTATATTGTCTTCACAGTCCAAGTCCACTGGTTCATCTTTGATTGTTACAACCTGCAAATAACAGACAAATTCGAATAATGAATCATTTAAAGTAACTTTACAATGCCGAATCCTCATATTTACTAACCACAGGTTTCGGTTGCGACTGACTTGTCAGCCACTCCTGCAACTTATTCTGCGAACGTAGACAGGATTCTTTGTAAGTGTGCCACTGGTTTACATTTTTCACGCAATTCGCGCATATCAGCTTGGACAGCTTGTCGGTAGTCGAAATCTGGAAAATACCGAGTACTTCGGTATAAATCTCAGAAAAAAAATCCAGAAACATTTCGAGCACATGTGAACGCTTTGAGCCAAAATTATTCAAATCTCTCATCACACTCGACATCTTTCACAGTCTCTCGAAATTCCCGATTGTAAGTAAGCATGCCAAGCATGCAAAGAACACAAAGGAGGACAACCCAGAGAGACTAGTTTCCACCAGCCGAGCTGTGCGCTACATGCGTATCGCGTCCAAAGTAAATCAACGAGTACCCACACGACTGTCCGTCGAGGGAAGAACTTGAAGAGAAAGAAGAAGCGCAAATACGACTGAGAGAAACGATGATTCCCCCCCACAATGTAACTCGATTACGCTTCATTGCGATGTCTTCATATCATGCCTCTCGAAACGAACATAACCTCGACGCCAGTTGGCGACGCGCTCGAGCAAAGTACGCCGCGTACGCTCACAGTAGATCTAGGCTCTTAGAGCTGCAGGTTCACTTAGATTCGCGCAAGATATGAAAGAACGACGGCGCGCACCAACCTCGATTGACAGGCAAGCTTGGATCTTCATGGCCAATGACACGGCCGTGTCCCGCTGCTCATCCATCGCGGCGAACACCGAAGACCTCGGCTCATCCGTGGACAGGCATAGCCTGCAGACGCTCTCCACGTTCTCAATCTCCACCACGTCCTCGTCCATGGCGAACCGGCGCTTTTCGAAACGCTACTCGGCGCAAAACACCCCCGAGACGAAGCTAAAACCGCCGACGCCGCGTTCTTCTGTGCTCAGGTTAGGGACGCAGCGTTTTGTTTGTGGCCATCAGACATCGAGAACTGAGGCTACCAGTTCGGCGGCCACCGTACTTGTTGTGACCGTGTCAAGATGGCGCGAGCGCGGCCGCTTTAGTAACGGCATCGACGACTATACTATAAAGACTATTGGCCTTACGGGATTTATTTAACATACCAGAGAAATTTCGCTGTGCACTAGCACCCTCTTGGGAATATCGTGGCCGAAGTATGAAACATAGCTCGAAATAAATAATAAATGGATGGTAACGGATATAATAATAAGGAATAATGGGAGAAAGATATCGGAAGATATCAAAGAATATTAATACAGAAAACAGGCCGAATATGTATGTGTGTATGTCTCTTAGGATCTCACAAGACGTGAGAAGATGTAGAATAATTTTTATTTTATATATATATATATATACACACACACGTTGGCATTCCTTAAGTTGATAATTCGAAGTTGAGATAATACTAAAATTGCAATCCGAAACACATATACAGAGTGTTTCACAAATTCCTCGCTCCGAGGAATCCATGAAGACATAGTGCGGATTAAGATAAATATAAAATTCCCCATACCATTTTGCGATGTTCGCAACAGCTCCGAGCTATCAATTATAGAAATGTGAAACGAGTGAACACGCGCCGAGATGGTGTCGAAAAAACAACGAAGTCGCTCGAGCCAAGCGCGGCCCACATGATTTTAACGACAGTTGCAAGAAGAAAAAGAAGAAAAAGAAGGACAAGCCGCGCCGCTACTCGTGTCTTACCTCTTGTCGCTCTTGCGTTAACATACTGATACATGAACGAAGCTACTTTTTTTTCTACAGCTGGACAACGGCGACGCGGCCACGCGGCCGGCGGTGAGGCCCCGGGGCGAAAGAGACGGGGACAATGTCGATTATAAAAGTGAAATGTATTTACCACATCGAGTATCTAAACCTTTTCGTACTTGATCTCAGCTTAAGCAGCCGAGGAATGGCAGAACGTATGAGACTTTTATGTTTCGGGATGTCAAGGAGGGAATGCAGGCGTAGTTCCCCTGACTCCCCCCACTTCGGTCCGAGCGGTAGGCACCCCGCAGGGGTTTTAGTCGGTAAGAGTCCGACATAACCCCCGACCCCCCCTCCCAAGGGTCGGGAGTATCCATGACGGATTTCCCCTGCGTGACCAAAAAAAGAAGACTTTTACGTTTGTCTTAGACCCGCTCTGTGTCTTCACGAGCTCTGCAACAATCGTTATGAAACACCTTGTATATAAAGTGTTGCAAAACAATTTTTATATTATTCGTGGAAATGTAGACTGGATTAAAATAAATATAAAATCCCGTAGCGTTTTTCGATATTCGTGACAGTTTATTAGTCATGGAAATCTGACTAGTAAGTGCGCGCCGAGATGGATGGAGAAGCTTCGCAGCCGCTCGGGCCACAGCGCGGCCTAATCGATCCAGTAATTAATGATGGCTTGCAGAGGTGCGACGAGATGAAACACGAATAGTGGCGCGTGTCTTTCGTCTCGCCGCGCACCCGCAATAGTTGCTAGCTGTATTATCTTGTGCGTAGCTATAGCAGTCGCTGTATTATCATCGCTCTTCAATTACCTCCGGGCCCCTCGGGGCCCCCCTTGGCCAATACGAAAATTTACCCAGGGTTGACAGTCTTTATATTACCTCGTCGGTGATTCGGCAGGACGCGCTGCGATCGTGCTTCTCGATAGGCTATTTCGAAAAAGGTCGCTTCGAAACGCAACGAACATCTGCAAAACGGACGTACACGCGGAAACGTATCTCCCGAGTGAGATTTACGGCGTTATTATTGTCAGAGTGTTTCATCGCGCTTTGGTCCCGAATCCGAGTCTGAGCTTCGCGACGATCAAACATCGGGGAAATTGCAGTGAGATTTATTTGCCCGAAAACTTTGGCCCGATCATGGCGGAACATGAGAATGAGATTGGGCGGAACGAACGTAAGTTCTTGATATATTTCTCCACTTTTATAGTATATATTTCTACACGATACGACCAGAAATCTCGTCGCTTTTACGCAAACGAGAAGGACACCTGAAATCATCATTCGTATACCTTTGCGTGTTACTGCGCGTTTTCAAAGACCTTCCCGCCGAATTTTCGAAGAGACTCCGTCTCGTGTTTCCTCAAAACACGAAACATCTTTGTTTCGCGTTCCTGTAAAGCTCTCTTCTGTAAAGAAACCAAATCGACATGGCGGTCTCATTCTTCACTCACATTTACGTCGAAGGAACGCGCAGCGTGAGAATTGCGGAGATTTTTTCGGAATCAGGATTAACGATAGGGAAAAACATCCTCCCAGTAGCAAAGTGAGGTTAGTGATGTAGTATATTCGTGATACATTAACGACGTCTCTAACATCAATAATGCGTCGATATAAGTCGATTGATGACGTCACCCTGCTATTTGGGTTCTCTCTCGATCATCAAATAATAACTCAGTGTTGTTCAACGTACACAGTTGGTCGATTTTTATTCCATATATGTCCTGTGATATACACGTTTGATACACGAAATTATTTGTCGTTTGTACACTGCAGGTAAGACAAATTGCACATTATATATATATTATTTATTTATTTATTTATTTATATATATATATATATATATGCAGGGTGGTCTACATAAAGTGTTACAAGTCCGTAACTTTAAAAATGTTTATCAAATCAAAAAGTTGTTCATAAGGAAGTTTCGTGTGTTTGAGAAACCTCTCTAACTACATAAACGTAAAGTTGCCCCTGCTTCCCCCTTAAGGGGAGACGGAGGTAACTTCATAATTTTAAATGGAACACCCTACAAAACGTTACATATTTGGATTCTACGGGAAAAAATAAATAAATTTCATCCGAAACATTTGTTTGGAAAATGTTTCTATCAAAAGTTATAAACATTTATAGCGATTTCATTCATGATTGAACTCCATTGACACAAAGTTGCGTCCCCCTTAAAGGGGAAGCGGAGGCGACTTTACGTTTGTGTAGTTAGAGAGGCCTCTCGAATACATGAAACTTCCTTACGAACAATTGTTTGATTTGATAAATATTTTTAAAGTTATGGACTTGTAACACTTTACGTGAGTCACCCTGTATATATATATACATAATGTATATACATATAGGATATATTTGTCCGTCCTGTCGAGAAAAGCATCCCCGGCGTTCGCTCCGGACAATTCCATCTACCGTGAAATTAACATTTGCGCATGGGCGACTCTGCGTCGGTCGTCTCTCACAAAATGAAGGCTTGAGAAAAATCCGAATAGAGCGATTGTGCAACCGCTCACGGTGACGTGCGGCGGTTAGAGCTTCGTTAAACAGCGTGCCAGCTTTATTGACTCTTCCCGACACGGCGGTTCTCAACTTCGCTTAGAACTCTGACTCGATAACGATGAATAAACTCGGCCGGGATCGGCACCGGGCCGTTCCGCCAGATAGCTCGGTTATCGCTCGGAAAACACGCGCATACACGCCTAGCTAACAACCATGAAAATGTATTTCCGCCGGCTACGAAAGGACGAAAAAAAGACAGAAGCAAGCGTCCGGGCCCCACAGACCGCCGCTCCGCTAGATGGCAGCTGCGAGTCGTTTCTTAACTCTTTTGAAGGAGGAACCCCCGCCCCCTCCTCTCTCTCTCTCTCTCACTCTCTCTCTCGTTTGAACACGCTACATCACTACTTGATTACACAATACATGCACGCTCGCCGAGCTCGCTCGCGCTGACATTAGATTCGCTCGCGAGCGCGCGTTTATAACTCGTAACAAGCGCATTGTATGCAAATCGAAGATTACGTTCCTTTGTGCAAACATGGCGACTAAAGGCGCGAGGCGCAACGTAACGAACGATTACATAGTGCGGGCCATACGGCAAGCAGTGTTTGCAACTTACACTCGAATTACAATTGTTTGATCGCGCATACGCGACACATGCACACACACACAGACATATACACACACACACACACACACACGCACACACACACACACACACATGCACACATGTGCGCGGCGACATACGTGCTATGTGTGACGTACGTATACACGCCATTAAGATTAGAACCATCGAGCTAGAGGCTCACCTACGGAGGTATCCTGAGATTCTATTATTATTGTTATTATTCCTCTGGAGCTATTCACATTAATATACAGTATGTGTGTGTGCGAGTATAACCATTGTTGACACGTCTCTGTTTTTTTCTTTTTTTAATTATCGACAACTCCGCGTGACTGCGCGCGCCACGTAAAAATCCTCAAAAACGTCTCCAAGCCCGATCGGTCTCGCGTTTTACGCTTCCTCCCCCCCCCCTCTCCCTTTCTCAGCGCGCGATTACGACATCCCGTGTCGCTTGACAACACAATGCTCGCGGCGACGTTTTGCTTGAGACGCTATCCGCTGCGCCATTCGGTGCGCGATGCCGATTCACCGAACCCGCGTGGACTGGATCGATCTTGAACACGAATTGTACAAGTTTTAACAGCACAAGGATCGCGTATAAAATTTATATCGTGGCCCGCGCTACGGGTGTGTACACACCGACGCGGTCCCAGCGAGGAAATCGAAACGGAAATCCTGGCACGCGCGCTTTCTCTTCGCGGGGGCTCGGATGCTCGTGAAGTGCATTCGCGTTTTTCCCCGGACTCGAGATCGCGAGAAGAAACGGTTCAGGTTGTCAGGCAATTGGAACTGAAGCAGGAGCTCCGCTGCGACTGCTGACGCACGTAGTCTTGAACGTTGAATTTCGTCTCGTCGGGGTCGTCGCTTTTTCTGGCCTTCAGCTCCCTGAAAGCAGACCGGGGCAGCAGTGTTGACCGGCTCTCGCCGATTTCTCGCCTCAATCTCATCGGCGTATCGCGTCCTGCTCTCTCGAACTTTTTTTTTTTCCCAAAATACGATAGCACCCACCGCTCTCTCTCTCTCTCTCTCTCTCTTTCTGGCTCTTCTGGCGCTGATAGTCGTTGCTTGAAAGCTGTCTCGCGCTACGCACTTTGATTGAAATTTATTCGATCGGATTGGAGTTTGTACTTGATATATACAGCATCACACTCTCGTAATGGTGATTCACAGGTGGAAAAAAAAAACTCATATTGAGCGACGACGAATCCAAGTGTGAGCATCTCACACGAGACAAGTGTCGAGCAACAACCATCGGACGCGGCTCTTCGGGAGGAAGCAGACGCGCGTTTTTAGAGCCCGAACTCTCAAGATCGTATACCGTGCAACAGCGAGGAACGCCAGCTCGACATTGAGGCCCGTCTTGGCGGACGTTTCCATGAACGGCACTTTGTACTCCCTCGCTAATCGCTCGCCGTCTTCCCTCTTGACGATGCGCTCGGTCCCGCAGTCGGACTTGTTACCTGCGGTTTCACAATGGACAGCGTGAAAATGAATCCTCCCTCCGGAAATACAGCCGCCTTCTGACGAGAGACGCTAATAGTGTTTTCGATCTCGGCGGGATTCCGAGCCCGTCGTCCGCGAGCAATTAAGGTCAATTTTCGAGAGCCGATAATCCGCGCACACAGATCGTGCACGCGTGCGAAACGGGGAATTGGATTTCACATTAAAAGCTGATACGCTACGGTGGAAGGTCGCGGGAATATTTCACGTGTATCGATCGCTGCGCAGGCTCGTTAAAACGGCTCTTAATTGCGTTCGAAAATCGCAAGCGTCCTCCTCCGTCTTTTCCCGTGACGTTTTGCTTCTGCGAATACCGTTTAGATCTCCATTTTCAAGTGGACCCGATAGCGAAATAATGTGTATCGCGCGGGACGAACTAGGCGCAATCAAATCCGGGCCATCATTCAGATAGCATTCACTCGCTGAGCTCTTATCACCGCCAAAGCACTGCGCGCGCTGCTCTTATTCACGGCATTTAGCTCGGCCGGACGGAGATCGAAGCGACCGTTTGTTGAACGCGGCGGGCCCAAGTGGGCAGGTCTATTGTATCGACACGGCCACCATAAATAAGCGCGACTCACCCAGCAGCATGATGACGACATCCTCGTTCGCGTGTTCCCGGATTTCGCTCAGCCAAGCCCTGATGTTGTCGTAACTCGTCTTATTCGTCACGTCGTACAGCAACAGAAGCGCTGGAACCAGTCGCGCGAGTCGTATTCCTTTTTCTTTCGTCTTGCTTTCTTTCAACGAGACCACCTCTAATCGGGTGGGCGTCTTGGGGAACGTAAGGAGGGAGGGGGGAGGGGGGGCGGATATGCAAAGTGCCGGAAACGAGAGCCCGAGGTTCGGTGATTTTCGAATGATACGCCGAATAGTTATAATCCCCCGAAATCCGATCCCGGGATAATATGTTGAAATCCAACTTTGCCGAGACAATGAAAGTTCCCCCGGGAACCAGGAAACGCTATCATCTTCGGAGGCGGCGTGTGAGGGGCGGGGGGATCGTGTGTAGAAAAATACTATATCGAGATATGCTTGATAATATATGAGATAACGGATGCATATCGAGACACGCGAAAATATACGCGAGACAACAGATAATGAAAAATAAATAAAACTCTGAGACGAACGTATAGCTTATTTGTGCTGTTCGAGTCGCGCTCTTCTTCCCGCGGGCTTCCCGCGTACTCTCGATAAGAGATTGCTTGTCGGGCCGTATTTTCTCTCCCTGCAAAAATACTTCGGGGAAGTTACGTCTCGCGGAGATTGCCACGGGACTCGGATTTCGGGATTCCTCGCGACGGCTTTGCATCTCCAGCGGAGAAATACATTTTTCCGCAGCCGCGAGACTTTGCACGGTAATCGCCAGGCGCGTCAAGCAAATATCAGTTTTTATCCCCGAGAGTGAACCGCGAGTCTCCCCACACACACACACACACACACACACACGTACACACACGGTGTGCTGCAATTTGATACTTCATCTTTATCGTGCGTTTAACCCGTTAAATACCTGTTAAACTTAATAAATAATATCCTAATATCAAAAATTAAAAATTCTAACATTATGAAAAAAGAAAAATGTATATTTACATATTTACTTTTATTAATATTAATATTCACGCGCCCGCGTTTTGTCGGCAAAACAATAAAGTCCCGCAATCTCTTTGTGCTCCTTCGGCTTCTCCCTCTCTCACTCTCTTTCCTTCTCTCTCTCTCTCTCTCTCTCTCTCTCTCTCTTTGTCTATCTGCACGAATCGAGTTTGGCAGCCGGCCAAAACTGGCGGAGCAACAAAATTGGGAGAACGCGCGACGGCTGAAATAGGCGGCTGGGGCGAAGAGGAGCGCGGCCAAATAATTACAAATGGCTCTTGCGCGCGCGCATGTAAAGTTGGAGCACGCCGCGAACGATGCGGATGTAACGGCGGTGTTGTTACAAATTGATAATTTCAAGTCCCCGCGGGGGTGAACAATCGAATCGGCAAGAGCGATTAAGACTTTCCCCGCGGACGCGCGTGCCTGTTCCACCAGTTTCTTCTCGTGCGCGAAAAATCTCAGATACCAGTTGCCGGCCAATCTGCGGCGGGTTTTTTTGCGGGAGAAACACGTTAAACAATTTAAATTTAACGAAAGCCGCCGAGAGGCAGCGAGAGACAGGTTATTCGTCGAGCTCTCCGCCGAGAGCTCGTTAAGCGCTCAGTAATGCAGCAGATTTCGAGGAATGAGACGGAAATAGATGACAATCCCTCTCTTTCACTCCTTATTAAAGTTCACACGGACCTTGGTGGTGTTTTAATCGTCGAGATGTATATTTTAAGCAGACCTCCCGCGAGAGAGGTTACCTCGAGAGAGAACCGCGGAGCTTGCCGCGGGGGAAAGTCTACTCGGTACCGAATTTCAAGCGAAGATCCATCGACTCGGCGTCAACCGAGCGGAAGCCCGGAGGCGACCTCGCACGATACAACGATAAATCGAATGAAAGTCCGCGTCTCACAATACCGAGAGCAGTTCCGAGTCTGATTTAATCATCAAGCCGCGTATTAAACAGCCGACGAGAGATAGCACGTCGTATCCCGCGGCGAGATATTTCCTCGTCGTTTCCCGGCCGCGATAAAACGCGGAACCAGTAAAACGTTTCATATGCACCGCGCGGCGCGTAGCGACGTTTACAGTAATACAGCGGGAGAGTAAATAGTTACGATTTGCTGCGTGGAAAATCCACACCAATGATCTCGGATTTATCGGCGAAGCCCGGCGCAGAGAGAGAGAGAGAGAGAGAGACGCGCTTCTATCAGAAACTATTCTGCAGCCGCGACTCCTCGCCGCCATTTTCGCCGTTCTCGTCGCGGAGAATGTCTCGTGGTCGACCGCCGATCCCCCGATTTTGCTCGATCTTCGCGCGCACTCAACTTCCCCTGAGTCTTTGGAAAATCGCGTCAACTCCGACTGCGACGAGTTTGCGAGGGTAAAGCCGAGGCGAACTTACCGTGAGCGTCTCGGTAGTAAGCGTGCGTGACACTCCGGAACCTCTCCTGGCCCGCTGTGTCCCATATCTGCAGCTTGATCGGCGTCTCGTCCACGGTGACGACCTTGTTCTGCAAGGACACGGAAGGTAGTCTCTCTTGAATCTCTCGTGAATCTTATAACAGCCGAGAACCCGTCTCTCGGTCGCGAGGACATGTCGTCCGCAATGTGAGCAACGCGTACTTTCCCGCCTGGCGGCAGGAAGGGAAGCGCGACACCTTATTGGGAAAAGTCTCTCTCTGTCGCGCTGTGAGATCGCGCTTCGGCGCGATTCATCGCGCACATACGCTGATATAACGCGAGTCTCACCCTGAAGTCGATGCCGACGGTCGTTATGTAGTTGCCCGCCAGGAAGCGACCGTCGCGGAAACGCGTCAGCAGGCAGGTTTTCCCAACGCCGCTATCTCCGAGCAACATCACCTGCATCGGGGGGGAATCAGGACTTTCAGGTATAATCGTCTTCTCCCTCGACTTCTCCCAGCTCGCTCGGTCAATCGCTCGGGTGAACACTCGCGCGATTCCGATCGACCTGACGCGATTTATCGCAGAGCATCGCAAAAGGGGGAGAAAAGGGGAAGGGCACGCGAACGAAATTACGTGAATCGATCAGCCCGTCCGCTGCTGATCCAGCGGACAAACGTGTGAGAGGAACGTTTCGCGGTTACCGATGAAAACTCGACGAGAACAAAGTGTTCCAGCGAGATTCTCTCCCCGCTTTCTCGAGAGGCCCCCGAGCGGGTCTACGACACCGGTTGAGTCGGGCCCAATCTACGATCGATGTGGTCGGATCTTGTATTTCGGGCGATCTTAAGTCTTTCATCTCTCGGACGCTGTACGGACCGTTTTAATCGGCTGCGCAGCCGAGGATCTGAGGATGGACTTAAGACGACCTTTAATATAAGATCAGACTATGAACACTGGCCTAAGCCCTAAAGCCCTAAGCTCTAAAGTGTGTAAAACGTGATTTCTGACGGAAGACGCTCTCCTGCGCCGGAGGACGTCGCGATCGACTTCCGGCACAGCTCGCGAGAAGGAGGCTTCCGCCAGGAATTACGTTACGGTTCCGGAGCGGAGCGAAACACCAAGGCACGCAAGATCCACTTGGACCTTTGCTCTAAACCCGCTAAATTATTACACGACTTTCGGCATTAAAGACGTGTCCAGCGGAAACGTCGCGATTCCAAGCCGTCTCACGCGTTACTGCGCCTGCCGGCGGCAGCGAGGCAGGCGCGGTACAATTTCTGGCCCAGAGCAAGAGACCAAAGAGCCTTACCGCACCCTTCGCGCAAGCCGAAGCAAGTCTTCAGCTTGTTGCTTTGAGCCACGGCAAAAAAGATCCCGGCGAAAAGCCGCGTCCGCGTCGCCTCAACAGCCGGAGCCTGGCCAACTCGGTCGAAGCCGAAGGACCAGGACTTCAGGCGGCGCGGGCGGCGGCGGGTTTACGCTCTTAGCCGAGACAGAATTTCGTCATACTTTCGGGCCCGAAGCGAACGGCTAAGGCCTCACACCACAGAGCCGCAGCGCTGGAGCGTGCCCGGAGCCTTAGCATTCGCTGGTCACGTTCGCGCGGTATCAGGCGGCAAGGCGGCAGACCTTGAAGAGGAGGTCCGCGTGGTCAGGTGGGGTGTGCTGGCCGGCCGAGTCGACGCTGCCGTCGCGCGAGGACTGCCGCCTGGTCGGGCCCGCGATATCCTGGGGCCTGGCAGAGGCTGGCGAGCTGCTGGACGCAACGGTGGGGATCGGCTGGGCTGGACCCCGCGAGGCCGCCGCGGGCCAATCGGCACCGGCCGAGCCGCCGCCGCCGCCGCCGCCGCCGCTGCCGCCGCCGCCGCGCGGCCCATGTCCGCTGCGCCTCGACGCGCTGCGCCGTATCGTTTCCTCCACAACGCTCATGGGCCCCTGCTACCGGGAGCACCAATTTGCTCTTCTTCTTCTCGGCCACTCCTCGTCGTCTCGTCGCGCTCGGCGTCGTCGCGCCTCGTAGCTGCGCTCGCGCTCACGTCGTCGTAGTAGTCGTCGCAGTCGTCCTACTCCTTCTGCTTCTACTTAGAAGGAGGAGGAGGACGATGACGACGACGACGACGACGATACGCCGAGGTCACTAAACCTCTCTCTCTCTCTCTCTCTCTTTCCTGCGCCGGAGAACGCTTCGCGTTTCGTTTCGTTTCGTTTCGTGCGTGCGTGCGCGGGCTCGCTTCCTTCCTTCTTTCGCGTTCTTTCTCCTTCTGCCTCGCGCTTCTGTCCGCTCTCTCCTCCCTTCCCGAGTCGCGGTCGCGCGCCGCGTGCGTCGCCTCGTCGAGGGACCACTGTGCAGAGGACGACGACGACGACGACGACGATGACGGGAAAGAGAGCGGGAGAGAGAAAGAGAGACGGCTGAGTGAAAGTTCGGCGTATCCCGCGGCTTCGACGAGCGCGGCTTGGCTTCTTTTCGGGATTTCCTCCCTCTCTCTCTCTCTCCTGTTCGACGAGGCGCGACGAATGCGAACGCGCGAGGGTGCCTCGCGCCGTGGAGACGGCCCCGTTGTTGTTGCTTGCAGGATGCACTCACCTAGATTAATATGCGAATGTCCTGAATGTCACTCGCCGCAGCCTGTCATTACGACAGCGGCAGCGTTGTGTGCTCGGACGATTTGAGAATTAGCTGGACAGAAATGAGATGAAACACAAGAATTCTCAAACAAGTTCCAAATGCTGTTTCAGTAAAGACGACACTTTTACTTTCTTTTTTTCCACCTAAGGTGCAGCTGAGAATGACACACACATTTGTGTCCTCTGGACAAGGACGAGTTGGAATTTTATCGGGATGGATTATCTGTACAATCTGACTCTCCACTCTGTATGCGATTTTATCCGTCCATACGTTTTATGTAGACGAGAGCAAAGAAGACTCGACAAGGATATGGTAGGGTTTCCGCCCGCTGATTTGAGCCCAATTGCGCGCAGGATGACGTTTTTTTTTTTCCTTTTTAGAGACCCGGCCTTTTCGATCACGCGCTCGTGCTCGACCCGCGGGAGATACGCGATTCCGGCAGTGCAAATGACATCATCCGCGTCCATATCGCGCCGGCGACACGTGTACTCGCCGCGTCGCGAGGGGCGGCGGAAAGGCCGCGAGTCGGAAACAATGTCGAGCAGGTTCGTTAATCGCGTCGGACGAGAGCGCGAGGCGCGTTCGGTTTCCGCGAGCGAAAACAGCGAAAGAATTCCGTTTGATCGGCGAGCCGGCAGCCGGGCTCCGCGCCGTGGCCATTGTAAAATCCCGGTGATGACGCTTGACGAGAGACGGCGGGGCGGCTCGACGGGGGGAATTGTCGCGGGGCCAATTTTTCAATGGCGAGCGAGCCACGCGCGAGCTTCAGTGTTCATCCGTCACGAGAACAATTGTTACGTGAAACATTCGCGACGGAGGGCGGCTTTGATACGAGTCGCGCGAGACGCGCCGCAACAAACTTCCCGGGAGATTGGAATCGATCGTAAACGCACTACATACATAAACACACACACACACACACACATATCTCCCACGAACGAGCGCTCACAGAAGCATGCATCTCGAGGATGCTCCGCGCGCCTTTGGGGATCGCCTTCCTCGGGGATGAATTCCTGCGCCTTTCCACAAATCTTCTTATTGTTAACGCGATCGCGGTAGTTCCGCGAGAGAGTTTCGCGAGCTGCGATTTGCCTACAAATTGTGCATCGGGAATTGTACCTTCGATTACAGTCAGATGATGATCAAGCTTAGTCCGTGACGCTACATCCGTGTCCGAATTGAATTATTCAGTGTCTCGCGCGCATTATACGTGTTAATTTATGCGTTGGAACATTACACCGGAATTCTTCTCGACCGTGGTTATCCACCCTCCATTTGCCTAATCCTGCGAAATTACCCCCTCATAATTAGATGATTGCATTTAATTATTCGTAATGATACATTCACACAACATTCTTCATCATCCAGCGCGCAACGCGTGTCGTGAAGCGCGACGCGTAACCGCCAACTTCGCGGCGCAAACGCGAGAGATGGAAACTGTCGGTCGGAGGAGAGCCTCGCGAGCGAGATCGATGCCCTCGGTCGCGCTACGACGAGGGACGGGCAGGGAGGACCATACGAGGCAATTACGCAAGTTCGTCGCGATACCCGGTGGAACAATAAACAGCCCGTTGCGCGATAACGAGCCGCGGGCGGATCGATCGCGAAGGCGGAAACAGTTTCGTTTCGCCATTTCGGAAAACGTCAAGGACAGAGAGCCGCTAACGAACGCGCGCACATGCGGCATATAAGCCGCTGAAACTTTCGCTCGTGTTCTCGTGAATAATTACTATCCGTAATAAGGCAGCGCGGTCCCCTCCCCCCTCCTCCCCTCTCGCCAACGGGGGGGAAACCGTGAAGAAGAACTCCGAATGCGCTTCTTCATCGCCGCCGCGTTTTCGCGACCCTCGCGCGTCGCCGAAGCGGGCTTTTTTGTCATCCGCGTAATTTCGCGAACTCGACGAAGCCGGAAATAACCGGGCTCTGTTCGAGCGCGATTTCAATTTCGTCTCGGCGCTCTCTCTTTCTCTCTCTCTCTCTCTCTCTCTCTCTCTCTCTCTCTCTCTCTCTCTCTCTCTCTCTCTCTCTCGAGCGGCCGAGTTTTCCAGGGGTGAAGAGAAAAGAAAACAACAATCGTCTGATGAGAAGCTACATCTATACGCGACCACGCGACGCACGTTACGCGTTCGCGTAACGAGCCGGCTCGATTCGCTAAAAGTCGCGTAAAGCACGCTTTATTCCCTCAGCGGACGTACGTTCCCCTCGCTCGCTACGATAACGGGGAGAAATGAAGGTTTTTACTTCCTCGTGACAGGCCGCGGCGACGAAGCGGGCGACGCGATGACGAGGAGACGCGTGCTCGCGCGATTTTATTACCCCGCGGATATGCGCGCATGAGGATAAAAAAAAAAAGAGTTCGCCGCCCGGTGCTGTTCACGGGATGCGACGTCGCGTCATGATGTATTGTGCGCAGGATAATAAAAGCCCTGGTCGCTCGATCGCCGTCGGGAGGAACTGCGCTTCGACACACCCGAGGGTGTCGGACATTCCTCGGGGAGTCTGGTTGCGATTTGCACATCTTTTTCCCGAGGTCCTCGGGTTCATAATGTAAAGGTGCGCGGCGCTTCTCAAATACACGCGCGGATTCTGAGCGGAGAAACCCAAAGCACCCTCGACTTAAGAGAGGGACCTTCATTTCGCATTGACTTTAGTTCTCGGGATTTTTCGGTTCCTCGATCATTTTGTCCCACCGGAAAAGAGCTTGAGACTGAGCGAACCGCGTTTTTTTTTTTTTTTTCAAAGAAGCTGAAATTATTTCCGTTTTCTATCAACCGAATTCTGCTGGAATTTCCAGGAATTCCTCTTTGGAGGTTCGGAGTGAATTTGCCTCGATAGAACGAGAAATTGCGTTTCCGTCGCGGAGAGCAAAACTTGCCTCTCTGCTTCGTTCACTGTTGCATTAATTCGACCATCTGCTTTTTCCCGCGTGAAATTGCGACTTCAGAGGAAGAGAGAAAGAGAAAGGGAGACAGAGAGAGAGAGAGAGAGAGAGAGAGAGAGAAAGAGGGGTTTACGCAGAAGCCGTCGCGACTGGAAGCTCGAGGAGAAATTCCACAGCGCAGAGCCGGTCGCAAAAACCGGATCGCCGTGCAGATTCGAGGCTGGCCGGCCCGGCCTACCCCGCTTTGGGCCCACCCACGCGGTGGTCGGGCGTCAAAAAGGTCCTCCGTGGGCCTACCTCTTCCCGACCGGTGGCGCCCTTTTCTCTCTTTCTTCTTCTTCTTCCTCTCTCAAACAGAGAGACAGAGCAAAAAAGAGGCAGGACGGGGAACATGAAGAGCAAAGAAGCGCGGCACCACGTGGCATCGGCTTCGAATAATTGTTAAATCGGGACTGTTTAACGGCGCGCGATGAAGAACATGGCGTGATTAATCGAGTCGCCCGAGTGTACACCAGTGCATACGCCCTTGGCATCGCGACACGGCCACTGACACCTTTTATCTCGCGTGCTTCTCGCGCAACTCGATTGCGTCACGCACGTGTGTCACACGCCGGTGATTCGCCGCTTCCACCGTGTCTCTCTCTCTCTCTCTCTCTCTCTCTCTTTTTCCGCGAACTTCTCGCAGCGAGCGACGAGTTTGCCGTCGCCGGAAAATAAATTTCACATTGTCACCTTTCACCTGTGCAAAGGCCCTTCTTCTTAGGGGCTGCCGGTGATGAAACATAAGAAAATGACATAAGAAGGTGACGCAAGCAGCGGTTTGCGGATAAGCGAGCGTGGTCTAGTCCAGCGTTAGTGCCTGGCAAAGAAGATCGAGCAAGAGCTCGAGGAGGAGAGTTTGAGACTAGGCATAAAAGTTGCGAGGAGCGAAGCTGAAGTAAAGGTGAAGTTCTTCGAGAGGAAGAGAGTTGCTTCCCCCTGCGGCTCTCTGTGTTACAAACACAGCGCGGGCGTTAATGAGAATTTTATTATTATAATCACATCCGCGTTAGATGACTCTCGTGGCGAATAACATTTTCCATCGCGAGCGCCGCAGCTGCTCGCTCTCTCTCTCTCTCTCTCTCTCTCGAGAGAGAGAGAGAGAGAGAGAGAGAGAGAGACCGTTCTCCTCCGATTTCGCTTCCGCGATTACGTCAAGACCCACTATGTGTTTTCGCGATGGAAATTTTCACGGGAGAGCTACGAGAGCTGCAAGTGGACTGCCGGCCCGTGTAATTGCGCTTCGCGACGCGCGACGCTCAAACGCCAGTTCGCTGTGGACGGTAGCTGTAACAATGAACAACACAATCACTCTTCGTCGTCGCCGTCCTCTGCGACGACGACAACTGAGACAACATTAACGACGCCGTCTCGACGTGCCACTCGGGGAATTTTCCGCGGCGACGATTCGCGGAGGGAGGGGGAATGATAAAAATGGGGAATCTCACTCCCTCCTCCTCCTCCTCCTCCCTCATACCCGATGATGTAACCGGATGCCTTGACGCAAGCGACCGGCGCGTGAAGCTCGCCGGAGCGGCGTCGGAGATAGGCAGGTAAAAGGCGCGGGGTGTTGAACCCGCGGACTGATTTCGAGCGGCGATCGCGGAGCCAGCAGCCGGCGCGATCCGCGTGGCGCTCGATGACACGTGGCCGGCCGTCGCGGAGGAGGAAGCGCGAGAGAGAGAGAGAGAGAGAGAGAGAAAGAGAGGTGGAGCGAGAGACACACGGCGGGTCGCGCCATCCGCGACGAGGCGTGAAGGATGGATCAGCGTCCCCGGCTGCCGCTGACGGCAATACCCTTGACACAGCGCGCGACGGTATGAGGGTCGGCGGGGGGGCTGGCGGGGCAATTAACGAGCAATATCTTCGGCTCCACGCGATCGAAACTCATCGGCGAAGCCGGGAAAAAATGTTCGCTTCGGATTTTCTAGCGAAGGACGAACTAAGCGGGATTTCGAGCGCCTGAGGGTGCCAGCTGATTCACCGCTGATCAGACTGAATTCTGATCGCTTGAACCGGATCTTCGGGATTCTTCATATTTCAGCGGAAAATTGTCTCACTCTCGGCCAAGCAAACATTCCCCTCCGTGTCAGAATCGTCAGTTCCGAGAAATAGTACTTGATAATGATAATAATAATTTACATTAGCAACGGAACGCGCGTCGAAACTCAGTTTCCCGACGCTGGGATAATATCGCTGGGAGGATATTAATGTTAACTCTTTACCGGATAGAAACGAGCTCGCGCGCGTGCGGACGAGCGAGTTTATTCATATTCACGCAGGCTTTGTTGTCTAACGGCTGCAGCAGCGCGCAGCAGCGCCACGAATTTTTCCCACCGCTGTGCGCACCTTCGGCGCGACATTCTCTCTTTTTCACCCTCGTCGCGCGACCCGACGTACCCCGAGAGTCTGCCGAATTATCCGGCTCGCCGATCGCGGATCGCCAAGGCGAAAATTCGCGCGTGCTTCACGGTTCTCTCCGCTCGTGATTATTTCGCGGCGACAATTCATGCGATCTTTTCTGACCATGCTGATTCCGTTAACAGCGCTGTCAATTGTGTCGACTACACTGCAAAGTGCGAGTGTGTTATCTTGACACGTATAAGCTGAAAAGCTTTCTTCGCGCGTTTCTTGTCGCGTTTCTGAAATCACGTCATTTGATGCACATCGATATCACTTAACGCGTTTAAACGCGTCAAACAACGTGATTTAAGACGACAAGATACGCGTAAAGGAAGCTTCAGCTTGTACGCGTCAAAATAACGCACTCGGGTTTGCAGTGTAATTACGATCAGTCACACACGCAGTTGCTCGGCGATTGGTGAACACAGGCGAACTCGTCGCATTTCACTCATCATTTGATAGAAGCGCACGCGAGCAGCCTGGCGTTTGATTATCGGCGGTGGTGAAAGAGGAGAGGACTCTTCCGAGTCTCTCTTTCATGCGCGCTCGCGTCTCTCGCTACAGTTCACGTTCCATCGACACAACACAAGATATTAACCAGCCGGTGTCGTCGGCTGAGCGTAACTCTCCGACGCGACAAATAAGTCGTTTGCCGAGTGCGTTTACAGTTACGTCGGCGCTCCAGAGACGCCTCCAGAGTGACGCCTTATACAGCTATCTTATGCCTCGCCTCCCTCCCTTTTCTCGGCATAACCGAGGAACTATTGTGGCGCGAGAGAGCGAGACGCGCGCGTCCTCGCAACAAAGAAAGCCGATTCCTCGTTACGCGCTCCCTTTGATTCCGCGAGTCGAGCGCGCGATATTAGGCGGCCACGCTAGCGCGTTTGCACGTTGCTCTAATAATACTCTGGCGTTTATACCGCCGTTGCACAGAGCGAGCCGAGAGCCAGCAACTCCCTCAGCGATCGCGTTTATCTTCCACGCGGAGCCGGTTGACCTCTTAACCCCCGGCCTCCTTCGGAAATCGTCGGACGGACGCGGCCCCCGGCCGGGCCGGCGCGAACTCGAGCGATGTAGATCGCCCGGATTTCATGCTTGACGTGCGCAGCACGTCACGAGAGGTCGAGTAATTCACGAGATGTCGCGAGCAAATTCGAAAGTGTACAAGGACGCCTCTGTTTTCCTCAGGAGGGAAGTCCCCCCCCACCCCATCGGGAAATAAATTCTCATCGAAGTCCGAAAGTCGCAGAGAGAGAGAGAGAGAGAGAGAGCGTGCGAGCGACTGTAAATCCGTTCGCGCAACGCTTCTCTTCTCACACTTGTTTTCTCCTCTCCCCTGCTTTTCTGTTTCCTTTCTTTGAAGTTAAGAGCGTATCGGGGAGAGATGGGGTCGCGCGAGTAGCCAGTAGTTCGACGGGAGAACTCTTCCCTCTTGGACAGGTCGAACGCGCTCTGAAAGTCGCGCGATACATTATACAGACCTTACCTTCCTGTCCACGATCGTGCGCGAAACGCTCGGGATAAATCGTCGACGTTTCGCTCGGCTCGCCATGAGAGCGGCTCGGAGGCGCGAGGAGGGACTGTAATCGGAGGAGATTTATGCTTCGATTTGTCAACGCGAGAAATTTGCGCCGCGCGCGACCG